TTGATATATGGCCTATTTTCATGTTCGCAATCCCTAACCAGCCTATGCTCGATTATCCTACATCTAGCTCAGCCTCAGCTCATCACTCACGTCCTTAAATCGATAATTGTTTGCAACATCGAAATGCATTTTACGTTACGTTACAACATAACGTAAAACTTTTAGCCAAATTAAATGGCATTGTTTGTGTGTGTGTGTGTGTGTGGTGGCGTTTAAATGATTCGTGCCATGCCAACCCGGCAGCCAACGAAAATTAAGGCCTATGTAACTCCAACTCCAATAGAGAAAAAAACTGCACACATACACGTAAACTAGCTTTCAAATGCACTTATCATCTAAAACGCTTTGGCTAAGTCAAAATCATGTTTCTGTTTTTTTCTGACCCGGCATAATTAAATATGGACACATGTTAGCGCTGATATGTTCAACGTCATAGCCGAGGATTGGGTAAATGGGTTTCAAAGTGCCATTGTTGTTCTTTTTGTTGTTATTTCTTCCTTGTGATATAATCTGGTGCAACATCAGAAAGCTGACGGGATTTTTGATGATGATGCGATGCATTTGATGGCGTCTCTCTCTCTCGTTGGCGTCCTATGGGGAAATCAGCAGAAGCGGCAGCAGCATCAGTAAGACATAACTAAAATTTAATGATGAATGGCTAGATAGATGGCTGGCGGGATGCATGGCTTCAAAGGCGGTTAAAAATATGATGAAAGAAATAAACATTATGGAATTCAAGAAAGTGTCAGGAAAAAATTGTTTAATAAAAATTGCAATAAAGATAAAAAATTCTGTCTAAGGAGATTAAATTTGAAAAAAATGGGAGCAATAAGAAGTTACATGGAGGCATTTTAACTATATTAAAAGGATGCTAGATTGGAATTTTTTTAATTAGATCTTTGAAGGATCCACAGAGGATCACTCTTGGTCTAAATGTGACAGTTAGGCTGGATTTTTTGGAAATTCGTACTAGAACGGTACGAAAAGTACTAAAAAGTACTAAATGTGATACCATTTGTATTTGGCGAACCAGTAGAGCTAGAACTCTGAAATTTGGATTGAGGGTCACTGATGGAGTGTAGGATAGATGTAGCAAAGGGCTTTTTGGAAATTCGAACTATAACTATCCGAAAATGTACTAAATTAGGTACAATTCTGTAGCTTGTAAGTGTGAATTAAGATTGAGAAGTAGGGTCCATTTGCGCAAGAAGATTTGGCAGCTCTTGGGGAGTTTGAAAGAAAAATTCTCCGAAAGATCTACGGGCTGGTCTGCGTCGATGGTGAATATCGGCGTCGAATGAACCATGAGTAGTACCCGCTACAGATGCTGCTATGGTCTGAGGAAACAACTCAAAAGCAAAACCACCTACCGCCAAACCAAACTCACACTCTACAAGACGCTGATACTACCCGTGCTGTTATATGGATCTGAAGCATTTGTACTTGCGCAAGGTCTTGTGGTGTTTGAAAGAAAAAATTTCCGAAAGATCCATGGGACGATCTGCGTCGACGGTGAATATCGGTGTCGACTGAATCACGAGCTTTACAATTTATACGCAAACATCGACATAGTCAGTCGTATTGAGCTGCAGCGACTACGATGGCTAGGCCATGTTGTTCGAATGAATGAGAATGTCCCAGCTCAAAAGGCATATAAAAGCGAGCCTACTGATGGTTTCCGTAGAAGGGGAAGGCCACGAATTAGATGGAAAGACCAAGTTGAAAATAACATCTTGGAACGTGGTCTTCCGAATTGGTGGATTTGCGCACAAGACCGACGCGCTTGGAAATCTTTTTTAAGCTCGGCTTATGGAGAACCGTTCTGTAACAAGCCAGCTGCTAAGTAGGGTACATTTATGGAGATGGTTTTGAAAGCGTGTACCTATGTGTACGAAAAGTACTATATGGTACTATATTTGGTACAAATTTGATTTGGAGATACAAATCGAGCTAGAATCCTGAAAATTGATGGTAACATTACCGTCGGTGTGTAGGATTGGGATATGTACGTAGGTTTGGAAATTTTTTACTTATGTGTACGTAAAGTACTAAATCGTACAATAGAACCGATAGAGCTGGAACAATGACGTTTGGAGTTAGGATCATTCAGTTTAACAAATTAATAATTATTGCATACTAAATGGTACTAAATTTGGTACAATTTGAATTTTAGGTGAGCCAATGGAGCTAGAATCAGGATCACTGTTAAGATGTAAGATTGAATTATGTAGGAAGTTTTAGAAATTTGTACTAATGTGTACTAAATTTGGTACAATTTAAATTGTGGGTGAAGTGATAGAGTTGAAATACTTAAACATGGATCACTGTGGGGGTGCTGGTTTGGGGTATGTTGGAAGTTTTGGAAATCGGTACAACTATGTACTAAATTTGGTACAATTTGAATTACGGTTGCACCAATAGAGTTGGAATCCTGAAACTTGGATTTTGTATCACTGTGGGGACGTAGGATTTGGGTATGTAGGAAGTTTTGGAAATTGGTACAACTATGTACTAAATTTGGTACAATTTGAATTTCGGGTGCACTAATAGAGTTGGAATCCTTACACTTGGATTTGGTATCACTGTGGGGGTGTTGGTTTGGGGTAAGAAGGGGGTTCTGGAAATTCGTACTACTTTGTACTAAATTTGGTACAATTTGAATTGTGGGTGAACTGATAGAGTTGGAATTTTCAAACTTGGATTTGGGATGACTGTGGGGGCGTAGGATTTGGGTATGTAGGAAGTTTTGGAATTGGTACTAATGTGTACAAAATTTGGTACAATTTGAATTGTGGGTTCACCAATAGAGTAGGAATCCTGAAAATTGAATTTAGAATCACTGTGGGGGTGTTGGTTTGGGGTAAGAAGGGGGTTCTGGAAATTCGTACTATTTTGTACTAAATTTGGTACAATTTGAATTGTGGGTAAACCTATGAAGTTGGAATCCTGAAACTTGGGTTTAGAATCACTGTCGGTGTGTAGAATTAGGGTATTAAGGATGTTTTGGATATTCGCACTATTGTGTACTAAATTTGGTACAATTTACATTGTGGGTGAACCAATAAGTTGGAATTCTGAAATTTGAATTTGGAATCTTTTTGGGGGGTGTAGGATCGGGATATACATGAAGTTTTGTTGGATGGTTGAAAAGGGGATCTAATGGAAATAATGTGTGCTAAATGGAAAATGAAATTTGGTACTAAATAGTACTCAAATTTAATTTATGGTCGACATTAATGTGTGAATTGTTTTTTTCTGACATATGCAGTTTGCTGTGAAAATAAAATAATATGTTAATACATGTTTAAAAATTCCCTTCATTCGCTAACAAAGTTGCGGGCATATGCTAGTTTTTTTAATAAATCCACGCCTGCTGATAGGCCTTGAACATATTTTTTAATGAAAATTTAAAAAAAAAATCAAACCTTTTTTCACCTCATAATAATTTCTACTTGCCTGAAAGTATGCACCACACATATGATTAAAAATTTTATGCTTTTAAATCCAAAATTTTCTCTATTTTTCTAAAAGTTTATTTTAATTATAATCTACTTTTAAAAAGTTCCGCCCATAAAAAGGCTCCTTACAGCCTCCTGTATCATAAAATTAATTATAAACAGGTTCGTGTGGTTAATAAAAAAACCCCGACTCAGAAACAAAATTTCTTTTACAAAAATGGTCACATTTTTCTAATGAAAATGTACATTAATGTGTATCTAAAAATATACGTACTCACACCACAGAACACATACACACATATGTGTGTATGTATGTGTATATGAATGGACTTGATGTAGTCTCTCTAATAAACATCTGTTTGCAAACAAATGTCACGTATCTTGTGAAAAATATGCACACCAACACGCACACCGATATATGGGAGTAAGGATACGTGTGTGTGTGTGTTTGTGTCTCTGTGTGTTTATGCGGGTAATGTGTCACCAAGAAAAGGATACTTTTTTAATGGAAACGTTAATCATCTTTAACAGTTAATTCTAAGAGAGGCCACCACCACACATGTAGTCCTATGAACATGTTTGTATGGTATGTGTGTGAGTGTGTGTCTGTGTGAGGGAGACTGAAAGGGTTTTTGTTTTAAAAAGTCATTTATTTTGCCAATAGGGTGGGTCATTAGCAAGTAACATGTTTGAAATTAAGCCAGGACTAAAATGAGGCAACTCCTTTGGAGTTGTTGTTTTCCTGGAATACATATTTTAAAAATAATTTGCCTAAAAGTAGGCAGCACACATTTAATAATAATTATTTGATATCCTTTTTATATAATTTTTGTATTATAATTGAATTTTTGTAGTATTTTTAATATTGTAGTGTAACTTTTGCCACCCCCTGTAGCTTAGGAAATTTTAGATTATAACGCCTCACTCATTAGTTATTAATACTTTTAACCTTTATAAGCCATAACCATGCATATAAATACACATTTAATTGGGTAAGGACATTAAAGTATACTTCTTCACATTCGAGTTTCTCCGACTCCTTTACATAGGCAAGGAAAATTAACAAGCAGGACATAGGAAGGGACAGATTTCAAATTAAAACTTGATTGTTAAAGCAGGATTTATTTCTAAAGAATTTTTAGGCGTGGATTTATTAAAAATATGTTTCAAGGCCTATCCTAAGGCGTGGATTTTTAAAAGAATATTTTTCAAGGCCTATGCAAAGGCGTGGATTCTTAAAAGAATATTTTTCAAGGCCTATCCTAAGGCGTGGATTTTTAAAAGAATATTTTTCAAGGCCTATCCTAAGGCGTGGATTTTTAAAATTTTTAAAAGAATATTTTTCAAGGCCTATCCTAAGGCGTGGATTTTTAAAAGAATATTTTTCAAGGCCTATCCTAAGGCGTGGATTTTTAAAAGAATATTTTTCAAGGCCTATCCTAAGGCGTGGATTTTTATATATCTTGGACGTCCTTTTGGTCTTTTTGTTCCTCTCTTATATTAAACTCCGATTTCTTAGGATTTTTCTTCATCTCCAAAATTTTATTTCTTTTCCATGGGATGACTTAAATTCCACCAAAATCTCAAGGTAAAATGATATAACATTTCTATGATACTCAACAGCGATACACCCATAAATAGTCCGCAGACACCACCGAAATTCGCCAGCAAATCCGTTACCCCATATAACTCCGATCTACGTGAAGTTATAAATTCATTATCCTTAAAATAAATCCAAACAATGGACATCGTCAGGTCGGGAAACATTTCCAATATCTCACGAAAATTTGCCACAGCATTTATGGTATTGGCAACATTAAAGCTACCCTCCGAAATTTCCGTTTCATAATCTAACGAGGTGCAGGCGGGCAGACAATCACAATCATTAATGGTGGGTTTATTTCCCCTCAATCCCTTGGTGAATTGTTGAAACAACAGTTGATCTTTGGCCTGGCGATAACACTGCAGTTTATCAGAACCGCATACCGGGGTAGCGGGACTTCGTGGCATATAAAAGGTAACACAACCGCAAAGATTCAGGGTGAAATTTGTCAGGCACTCCAGTTCACAATTATTTTGGCTATAGGCCTTAAAATAGCGTAGCTGACGATCCCGATTCAAATAGCATTGGCGCTTATGAGGTTTATATTCCGCAATACCCGACGAGGTGGTTATCATCTTCGGCTTCACTGCAATCATAACATCCTTGTCCATGGATATGTGGACAAAATGTTTGGCCATAGAGGGCACATCATCGGGAGAGTGTAGCAGAATCTTAAAACCATCCGCCACATAACGACAGCTGTAATCCACTTCTTTGGCGAAGTTCTGCAGGGATGTTAAAAATCCAGCCATGGTTCCTGCACCCAACACCCTAGCCGGATAGGTGTTCAAAACCCCATCCGTTGTAAAACCCTCTTCCAAAGACCAACTCAATTCCTGATTAAACATGGAATTATTCAGGAGAGAATTCTTCAGGCTCTCTTGATATTGATAGGTATCCTCACGATATAAATCGGTGGCTTTCAGGCTATTAAAGGTAAAGCAAATACCCTCATCTGTATAGACTTTCATAAAGAAACGATCACAGGTCGTTTCCACACCGAACCAGCCACAGCTGTAGCAGTATTTTTGTATATCTGGAAAAAATTCATTTAGCTTTCCGATTATATCGATCTTTGGACCATCGAAGGAGGAGATACTGGTATTTGTTTGGACATCACACAACTGCATCAACGTGAGTATATCTTCCATATCGGAGGATGTGAAATTGTCGCTAAATTTCTCACCCGATTCGAGGTAATTTTTAAGGCCCAACAAAAGTTCGGAATAGTTGTGGACTGTTAAAAATTGAATTTTTCATTAGGGGAAAATAGGAAAATTTCCACCTTAACTCATAACTCACCCGTTTCATTAATGGCCCTTTTGGTTTCCGGACATATGGTCACCGCCGGAAAGGGTATACTCCATATGGGTGTTGACTTCTCGGAAATGGTTACAATCACCGGTGTTTCATGCCATTTCAAATAGGCCTTCCATATCATGGAACCACAATAATACAACGAGACCACAAAGACCAGCGACCAAAAGCATTTCTCCTTCCAATTGCGGCTATGGGCGAAGTACTGAAACCCGTGTATCGAAGAGATGGCACAAAATTCCACATAGCTTTTTCGCAAGGCCTGGCAACAGGACATTCTTTTGGGCTTTTTACCTTTCTCCGTACTGGATGATGATGATGGCACATCGATGACAATTTCCTCCATTTTCTTTTCTGAAAAACAAATTTATTTCCGCTTAGTAATTTCCTGGTCAAATTTTGTCAGCCAACTAAAAATTAGTTGGCTAATTCATCAACGTTTCGGGTATGTCATCTTTAATTAGCCCGAATTAGCCCCAACCATAAAGTGTGTGCATTTTTTTATGAGCAATAACAAAGGAAATAAATATATGTTTGGCCTTGAACTGCATTGTATATTAGGGTGGAAATGAAAAAAAAAATAAAATAATATTTTTTCAAGAGCCACCAATTTAAAAAAAACCCTACCCTTTGGATTGATTTTTAAAATAACAGTTGTCAAGGCCTATTATAAGGCGTAGATTTTTAAAGAATATTTTTCAAGGCCTATCCCTAAGGCGTGGATTTTTAAAAGAATATTTTTCAAGGCCTACCCTAAGGCGTGGATTTTCAAAAGAATATTTTTCAAGGCCTATCCTAAGGCGTGGATTTTGTAAAAAATATTTTTCAAGGCCTATCCTAAGGCGTGGATTTTTTAAAAAATATTTTTCAAGGGCCAACGGAGGCGGGGATTTATTAAAGAATATTTTTCAAGGGCCAACGGAGGCGTGGATTTATTAAAGAATATTTTTCAAGGGCCTATCCTAAGGCGTGGATTTTTTAAGGAATATTTTTCAATGCCTATATTAAGGCGTGGATTTTCTTCAAGGCTGAAGGCGTGGATTTAATAAAGAATATTTTTCAAGGGCCAACTGAGGCGTGGATTTATTAAAGAATAAATTTCAAGGGCCAACTGAGGCGTGGATTTATTCCAGAATATTTTTCAAGGGCCCTAAGGCGTGGATTTTTTAAAGAATATTTTTCAAGGCCTATATTAAGGCGTGGATTTTTTAAAGAATATTTTTCACGGGCCAAGGGAGGCGTGGATTTTGTATAGTCTATTTTTCATGGGCCAACTGTGGCGTGGATTTTTTAAATAATATTTTTTTCAAGGGCCAACTGAGGCGTGGATTTTTTAAAGAATATTTTTCAAGGGCCAACTAAGGCGTGGATTTTTTTTCAAGGCCTATCCCTAAGGCGTGGATTTTTTAAAGATGGATTTATTTAAAGAATATTTTTTCCAAGTACTAACTGAGGCGTGGATTTATTTAAGAATATTTTTCAAGGGCCAACTGAGGCGTGGATTTATTTAAAGAATATTTTTCAAGGGCGAACTGAGGCGTGGATTTATTTAAAGAAGGCCTTTTTTCAAGGCCTATCCCTAAGGCGTGGATTTTTTAAAGAATATTTTTCAAGGCCTATCCTGAGGCGTGGATTTTTAAAGAATATTTTTCAAGGGCCAACTGAGGCGTGGATTTATTAAAGAATATTTTTCAAGGCCTATACTAAGGCGTGGATTTTTTAAAGAATATTTTTCAAGGCCTATCAGAGTTATAGGCGTGGATTTTTTAAAGAATATTTTTCAAGGCCTACGTAAGCCGTCGATTTTTTAAGGAATATTTTTCAAGGCCTATCCCTAAGGCGTGGATTTTTTAAGGAATATTTTTCAAGGCCTATCCCTAAGGCGTGGATTTTTTAAGGAATATTTTTCAATGCCTATCCCTAAGGCGTGGATTTTTTTTCAAGGCCTATCCCTAAGGCGTGGATTGTTTTAAGGAATATTTTTCAAGGCCTGTATTAAGGCGTGGATTTTTTAAGGAATATTTTTCAATGCCTATATTAAGGCGTGGATTTTTTAAGGAATATTTTTCAAGGCCTATCCCTAAGGCGTGGATTTTTTAAGGAATATTTTTCAAGGCCTATCCCTAAGGCGTGGATTTTTTAAGGAATATTTTTCAAGGCCTATCCCTAAGGCGTGGATTTTTTAAGGAATATTTTTCAAGTTCTATCCTAAGGCGTGGAGTTTCTAAGGAATATTTTTCAAGGCCTATCCTAAGGCGTGGATTTTTTAAAGAATATTTTTCAAGGCCTATCCTAAGGCGTGGATTTTTTAAAGAATATTTTTCAAGGCCTATCCTAAGGCGTGGATTTTTTAAGGAATATTTTTCAAGTTCTATCCTAAGGCGTGGAGTTTCTAAGGAATATTTTTCAAGTTCTATCCTAAGGCGTGGAGTTTCTAAGGAAAATTTGTAAGGTGGATTTTTTAAAAAAATTCTACAAGGCCTCACCTAAGGCGTGGATTTTTTAATTAATATTTTAAAGGTGGATTTTTTTTTAAGAATTTTTTTCATGGCCTAACCTATTTTAAAGGGGAACTTTTTTAAGGCCTAACCTACGGCATGGATTTTTTAAGGAATTTTTTTATGGTGGATTTTTTTTAAGAATTTTTTTCACACACACTTAAAAAATATTCTTTAAAAATTCGCACTTGTGATAGCACCTAATAATATTATATAAAAAAATTCACAATTCCTCTTACCAATTGTGCAACAGGTTATCTCTCCACAGTAGTCAAGTCGGAACTATTTTTTTTTTATTCCGCTAAAATATCTTCCAACATCCAGTCGTTGGTGGTTATGTCAATTCCTTTTTTGTTGTATCCGTAATTATAGCTAAGTTCTATGAAAACCGTTCAGCTACAATTATATGCTGGCAATAAATGATAAATGAAAGGGAGTGGCTGAATATTGCTTCTCCGATAACCTTTGCACAATGGGACACAATTCGAAAATAATTCCACAAATATTACAAAGGTATAGGCTAATATAAAAACAATGCCGATTTTTTTACCGTCAAACCAAAAATGTCCCTATCAAAAATTGTATTTCTTCACATCATTAACTATGACCGAAGTTAATTAAAGCAGTCGATTACATTCGAATTTTAATTTAAAAGAATGTCCTTAATCGTCATCTACGTTCCTATATTTATTGGCTGATCTGTCCCCAACACCGACTGGTAATTTCTTAATTTCTTTCAAATTAATAAATTTTTTTAAAGCAGTAGATTACATTCGAATTTTTAATTTAATTTCGTATTTTTTTCGAATACTAAATTTTATTTCGCAAATATTCTACACCCATCATTAATTCACATTACTTGTAAGGGTCATATTGGACCATAGACGTAGGGTACAGTGATAAAATAATTCAACAATACTTAAAATCGAAATGCCCATAAATAAACCAAAAACACCACCAAAATTCGCCAACAAATCAGAGACACCATATAATTCCGAACGTCTAGAGGTAATAAATTGATTTTCTTTAAAATAGATTTCCACCAAAGACACTTGACCCTTGAATAGCTCCGTGACATTAAAAGCCTTTTGGGTGCTTTGCACATCGAAGCTGCCCTCCGAAATTTCCGTTTCATAGGAGAGAGAGGTGCAACCAGGCAGGCAATTGCAATCTGCAGATGAAAAGGAAGTCACACTTGACTTCTGGAGACCCTCCGCAAATTGTTGTAACTTTAGCCGGTCCTTGGCCTTGTGATAACAACTGATTTTATCCTCTCCACAAATTTCCATATCTTGCGTATGGGGCATGGAAAAGCGTACACAGCCGCATTGAGAGTAAGTGAAATTTGTCAGGCACTCTCGTTCGCAATTATCTTGATTGTAGATTTTATAAAATCGCAATTGTCGATCGGTGCTGAGAAAACAACGCCTTTTTTCCGGATCATAGGCTGCAATATCTTTGGAGGTTGTTATCATTTTAGGTTTCACCGCAATTAGAATCTCCTTTCCACCGGAAATTCTTACAAAATGCTTAGCCACCGAGGGAGTTTCATCTGGGGAGTGCAGTAGAATTTTAAAGCCCTGCACTGCACCATTGCAGGTAAAGTCAAGTTCTTGGGGAAACGACTGCAGATAAATTTGCAATCCTGACTCAGAACCAGAACTTAATACCCTTGAGGGGTAAGTCAGTAAAATGTTATCCTCCGGATATCCCTCCTCCAAAGACCAATGTAAGGGAGGAAATTTATTTGCTGGCATAGCTCCTTGATTTGGCAGCACTTCGTGGCGAAATAGATCTTTGGCTTGTAGGGTATTAAAGGTGTAGCAAACACCCGCATCTGTATAAACCTTGCGGAAGAGTTCTTGGCAATTTTGAAATTTCCCAAACCATTTACACAAAAGCAAATAGCGTTCCATGGTGGGTAACATTCGATCCATTGTTTCGAAGTAGTCAAAGGGTTTGTGTGATAATTTTGGTATCTCATAAACTTGATCAATTTCGAAACGACAAATATGCATTAGGGTCAAGGTCTCTTGCAGCTCGTGAAGGGAATAATTTTCGCTGAGATTTTCTCCAGCAGCTACATAAGTCTTCAAAGACTCCAGCAAATGACCATAGTCCTTGTCTGTAGAGGGGAGAACTATTTAAGATTTAATTTTCCCTCAAAAATGTTCTCTTATCTTACCTTTCTCCTTGAGAGCTCTCTTTGTCTCCGGACAAATGGTTACTGCGGGAAATGGTATATTCCATATGGGTGTTGATTTCTCGGAAAAACTCACAATCACCGGTGTTTCACACCACTTCGTATAGATTTTCACAATTATGGTGGTGCAAAAATAAATTGTAATCACAAAAACGATTATCCAAAATCCAATCTCCTTCTTGGGACGCCTTTGTCCAAAATACTGGAAACCATGTATCGAGGTATTCGAACAAAACTCCTCGTAAATTTCCTTGAGACTTAGAGAAGGGGATCGTTTGACGGCAGATTTTTGTGAATCGTTGTCTTTGGTAGTTTGATTCCGTTCTTCTTCTGGCAAATCCCCTGAAGAGATTTCATTTAGATCACTTGCCGGACAAGCCATGGCGGATTTTTGGAAAATTATATTTTGATTTATTTTTTTTCTGGTTTTTTTTTCTCTGCCAATTTTTCCGCAACGTTCTGTTCCTGGTGACTCAGTTCAAATGGCAAGAAATTTGTTAATGCCATTATCTCACGAAGATAATGATTTCATAGCCATAGTTTTTATGACTCTCACTGGACCTACGACAATCTCCGATTGCAAATAAAACCGCAATGTCCATGACAAATTAATGGCTACCCTTTCCATTCAGCAAGTTTTTGGCGACATTAGGACTTTAATGAGTTCAGGGTGAAATACCTGAAGTGGCAGCAAAAAAAAGTTAAAGACTATAGATACACATCGCAATACTGATACACCGAAAATCAACAACATTTGTCAACAATTGGTATCTGGAAGATAGAGTTGAGTAGTTCGGGAACGAGCTAGTTCAATGGTTTAACTATTCCGCCAATGGAACGATCGTTACCAGTTCTGGTTCTTTTGTTTATCTAGTTCCGATTGTTTCTTTTTACTCTCGAACAAGATCAAAGTAATTATTCCGCAAAAGGAAGGATCGGTTCAAGGTCCGCTTCCTTTGTTTATCTAGTTCCAGTCGTTACTTTTTACCATCGAACAAGTTCAAAACAACTATTCCGCATAAGGAACTGTCGGAACTAGATCGGATTTTTTTTTTTTTTTGTTCATCTATTTCCCTTTGGCTATAGTCTTTCTTTTTTACTGTCGTTCGCCTAGTTCCATTCCGAATCAACTGATGCGTGCCAATAAACAATTGCCAAAAAAATCAACTATCGAACAAAATTTAGAACCGCTAAAAGCCGTTCCCAACTAATTTTATATTGGTCTCTGGAAGATAGAGTTGAGGAACAAATTAGTTCAAATCAACTATTCCACAAAAGGAACTATCGGTACTAGATCCGGATCTTTGGTTCATCTAGCTCCGTTTGATCCAGTCATTCCTTTTTTGTTTTTCGTTCACATACTTCTTTTTGATCTTTATTGGCCGAACTTAATAACCATGTTAATCGTGTCGCATAGTGGTGGGAATGTAGTATCTCTCTGGCTCTCCTTTTCATTGCAACTCCGATCATGTAGCACATCTCGAAAGGGAAATTAGTAAAAAAACATTTACATGAATGATCCTTCGCCCTAAAAAGGCATAAAAGCAAAACTCAAAAAAATTCAGCTTAAGTCCGGCTCGGATTTGAACCCTGGTTCCCATGGTATCTGTTGATGTTCGGCGCCTTAGCGTTCAAAGCCACCTACTTATCTTCCTAAGGTTGCATAATATGCAGTTGCATACCATTTAAGAAAACTATTGTAGTCTGTATGGAAAAAAAAAATTCGTCACTACAAGAAAAATCTGCTCTGAAAAGGAATTTTCTGGTGTGATGCCAAATGTCCGAACCTTGACACGGTTGAATTTAATTCGTAGATGCAATTTCGCAACAATTGTCGACATAAATACAACTTATCAAGTAACGACATATGTAAGCCACATTGCCCAATATGCCTGATGAACCGCTTAAGCAACGGCGAAACGCGTGGCATAGTGGTGGGAATGTAGTATCTCTCTGGCTTTCCTTTTCATTGCAACTCCGATCATGTAGCTCATCTCGAAAGAGAAATTAATAAAACAACATTAACATGAATGATCCTTCGCCCTAAAAAAGCATAAAAACAAAACTCAAATAGTTCAGCTTGAGCCCGGCTCGGATTTGAACCCTGGTTCCCGTTCCCATGGCATCTGTTGATGTCGGGTGCCTTAACGTTCAAAGCCACCTCCTTATCTTCCTAAGGTTGCACAATATTCAGTTGCATACCATTGAAGAAAAATATTGTAGTATCTCTCTGGCTTTCCTTTTCATTGCAACTCCGATCATGTAGCTCATCTCGAAAGAGAAATTAGTAAAATTAGATGTAGTATAGGGTCCCAATAAATGCAGTTCATTTGAGGTAGACATATATAGATGTCTCAATGTCATGGAACTTCTGTCAGGATACAATAGAATATAGGAGTGTAATTTCGTTTTGTTTGGATATAAAAGTCGATTTTAGCTAAAGGAGGTCCCTTCTAGGAGCACCGATTTGGTAGAAAGACATTCCAAAGAGGTGACATTTTTACATCGATCGTATATAGACATTACTAACTCCGAAGAGCTTCTGTCAAAACTAATTCAAAGAAATCCGTTTAATATCCTGTCTTTCTTTTTGTGAAAAAAAATATTTGGCGCCCAATTTAAAAAATAGAAATGATAGTTCTCCGAACTTACAATTACTGGAAATTGAGTAGCGTCCAATTAAATGTAAAATTTGGAAATTCGAAAATTTCGTGAGGCCCTCTTGGTCTTCGGATATATTGTTACCCGTTGAAAATGTTCTTTATCTAAAAAAGTAACACTAGAATTTAAGTGCTGCCCAATTAATTCCCCACAGTCCTACGCACCAGATTATAAATTCGAATGTAACTACTGCTTTAAAAATTACCTATCTTATTAATGGACTTCTTCGTCTCCGGATATATTGTGACCCCTGGAAATGGTATATTTCCTTCTTATTATTGTATAAAAAAAAAACTAAATGGCGCCCAATTAATTTTCCCCAATAATTATAATTTGAGAAAAAAAACGAAAATTCGAATGTAACTACTGCTTTAAAAATTACCTATGTTATTAATTGCTCGGATATATTGTGACCCTTGTGACCACACCATATGGTTGTGGATTTCATCATTATTGGACTATTCATTCCTATAATACTTTACGTATGTTTAGGATAGAAATATCGATAAAAAAGGGCGAATTTGAAAGAAATCACTCATAATCAAAATCTGTACCAAAGGTTAAAAAAACACAGGTTAAATTATTAATTTTTAATCGATTTATTTTAAGTTCATGTAATTAAAATTTATATTTCATTAATTCAAAAAAAAAATAAAAAATTAACTGTAAGTTTATTTTCAAGATACAAACTCTTCAGGTTTAAACTTTCCTCCAAAGTTACCCATCATTTCGTCTTACATTCGACCACAAACGCAGCGAACAATGATATAAAATTTCCACCACACTTAGCAGCGAAACACCCATAAACAGTCCCAAGACACCACCAAAATTCGCCAACAACTCCGTTATACCATACAGTTCCGAACGCCTCGAGGTAATAAAATCATTATCCTTAAAATAGATTTTTATCATAGACAGTTTTCTATCTGAACCAAAATAATCATAGTCTTTAAAAGCAGCTAACATTCCGATCACATCTAAGCTAGCATCAGATATTTCCGTCTCATATTCCAGCGATGTACAACCGGGCATACAATTACAACCGCCACTGCCTTCGGAATGCTCCAAACCCTCATTAAATAGTTTCATCAGCAAATCAAACTGAGCACGTCCAAGACACCGAAGTTTATCCTCACCACAAACAGGCATATCGGCTGTTCGCGGCATGGAGAAATGTACACAACCACATTCCGAATAGGTGAAATTTGTTAAACATTCGCGTTCACAATTCCGTTGGGTGTAGATTTTATAGAATTTCAACTGGCGATCTTTGTTCAAATAACAACGCCGCTTTTCAGGGTGATATCCTTCAATATCCGACGAGGTGGTAATCATTTTTGGTTTTACCGCCACCAACAATTTCTTATCCATGGAGACTCGAACAAAATGTTTTGTCACCGAAGGTATATCATCGGGTGAACTTAACATTATTTTAAAACCTTCGGTCGCACCGCTGCAAGTATAATCCGTCTCATCGGAATACGTTTTCAATGTAAATTTGAATCCTGCCGTAGATCCTGAACTCAATACCCTCTCGGGATATGTGTTAATATCACTGTCCGCCATATAACCCTTTTCCAATGACCATGCCAATTTCTGTCCTCCATTAGTTGTGTTGATATTTTCATTTCTCATTTGTGAACGCATCACGTGATCGTGATATAAATCCTCAGCTGTCAGGCTATTAAAGGTATAGCAGATACCCTCATCGGTATAGACTTCTGTAAGCAGATCTTCGCAGTCGACAATACGACCAAACCAATTACAGGCTTGGAAATATCCTTCAATACCCGGTGACAATTCATCCAAATTCCCAATATAGTCGATGGTGTAGTTTTCCCTTGTTTTCGGTATATTAAGAAAACCATGAACGCCGGACGGACAAACTTGCATTAATGTTAAAACCTCTTCGTGGTCTTCACGTGAAAAATTTGAATAATATTGATTATTATCATCGTCAATATAGGACTTGAATTCACTTAGCAATTCCAAATATGAGTCATCTGGAAAAAAATCGAAATTGTGAAATAAAATTCGAATGTAATTACTGCTTTAAATGAAACCATACCTGTCCTATTACGGGCCCTCTTCGTATCCGGACATATGGTTACCCTGGGAAATGGTATATTCCAGATGGGTGTTGATTTCTCCGAAAAAGTCACTATCACAGGAGTTTCCGACCATTTCACATAGACTTGCACAATAATCGTTACACAAAAATAAAATGTGATGATGAAAATTATTATCCAAAATACAATTTCCTTGCGTGGCCGATGTTGGCCAAAATATTGAAATCCATGGATGGAGGTATTCGAAAGAAATTCCTTACAGATTTCCTTGAAATGTTTCCTCAGCGATTTATTCCTTTTCAGTTTGGGCGATTCCTCCAAACCAATGGCGAAATCATTGGAGCTCTTTTCCACGGCATTTTTATTTCGTTTTTTTAATTTTTTCAGCATTTTGAGGTAACCTCAAATGGCTTCACTTGGCAATGAACGTTTTTTACCCTATCCTCCAATGTTCCCACTTCACAACTAACGACAACTTAAGATTCTGCTGGCTATTTAATAGTTTTGAAATACACCAGTACCTCGTTTTGAAATTTGTATTTACATTCGCATGACTTCCTGCCATAACCTGTGTCATTGCGGTACATACCACCTGGGTGTTTAATAAAATGTCTATCAAAGGATATGTGTTTGACGTAATCAAATGCTAAAA